ATCTGTGAGATTGTTCCAGTTGAGATAAGAGTCCTAAGGAAAACAACAGGTGGCCGGCCACGTCAAGGGGTCATCATGACCATTTTGACCACCCAGTTCCTGTAATCTTGGTGTCCCTGCCAAACTTTGACGCAAACTGTGGTCTCATGTAAATGTACCAATCAGCCCCCTGTAACCATGCTTCTCGCTTCTGTACCTGCGCTTCTGCTCTAAAACCCTATAAAAAGCCCAGCTTTGCACCCAGAGGGCGCGCAAGTCCTCCGAGTGACTCTGCTGCCCCGGGTACCCGTGTATCAAAATAAAAGCCTCTTGCTGTTTGCATCCGAATGGCCTCGTTGTTCCTTGGGAGGGGGTCTCTCAGACGAAAGATACCCTCCGGGGGTCTTTCAGCACGAAGTCCAGTGGTCCATCCCATCAAACAATGCCTTCAAAGTCCTCCCAGTAGCTCCCAAGCCCGTGGTGATCCTCATCCTCTGCACCAGGCGCTATGGCTGGTCCCCACCTTGCTGGGACACCAGGCATGCACATTCACAGAGCAGACTAAAGTGGGAGTGGGCCCTCCAGGGGGCCTTCCAGGTCTCCTTCATGCTTGCCTTCAGTTGTCACCTTCTCATCTCATCGGAGCCTCAATCTTTATCTTATTGATTGGCTATTTGACAGTCCTTTCTCATCCCTGAGGTCTACACCCCATAATCATCTATGAGTTTCTGGTATATTATATAATTTATTTCATCTGGTGAGTGAATTGCTTGTTCTCTCACTCTGCCAGAAGGAAAGCTCTACCAGGGCAAGAGCCTTTTTTTTTTTTCTTTCTTTCTTACCTACAATAGGTCAATTCCCGTAATAATGACTAATTCATATCATTCAAAGATGTTTGTTGAACTAAATAAAGGAACAAACAGTTAGTGCTGTCTCCTGCCTCAGCCAGGACAAGTTAATCTGTTGGTGCAAACTCAGCAGTATGTCAGTTCTTTATCCTTTTAGGCATTTAGTTAAGGCAGTCTGAACAGAAGGTTCACTCTGTAGTGGAGACAAAGGTATTGTCTAGCCTGGGTCCGCAAACCACTTTGGACGACTTGAAACTGTGAGGGTGAAAGACATAGAGACACATGGCCAGGTTAGAAAAACCTCAGTTTCTTGATGACAATCTTCTTGGGGAGATTGGGCTCAATAGTGTATGAGGTCTGCGGGAAGCTTTACATCCGTGGGGGGAAGTGTATGTATATATGAAAAGCCAAAGTTGTCAACCAGGTTGTAAGGAAGGCTAGGAAAAAGCTCTTCAGACCCGGAAGCTCTAGGGAACAGGACAGCCTCTGTCTAAGCCCAGAAACTCATGGTTTCAAAGAGTGTGTCCTTTGCTTTTCTGACTATGTCCCTTGATACTGTCATATTTGTGAACTTGGTTTTTTAAAGTATATTTTTTGGGGGTTGGAGAGAGAGGTCAGCAGTTAGGAGTATATACTGTACTTGCAGAAGATCAGAATCTTGTCCCAGTGCCCACATTAGGTTGTCCTTATAATTGTCTGTAACTCCAGCTTGATGGGGATCTGACGGCCCTGGCCTCAGCAGGCACTTGTATTCATGTGCACATTCACACACACGCCACACACTTACACATGCACACATCACGCACAAATCTTTTTAAAATTACACATATTTACCTATTCATTTATTACATGTGGGCTCCCCTCCCCTGGGGCTTGTGCGGCTGGTTGATGCCCTGTGGGAGTGTGGAGATGAGAGAACAATTTGTGGATGTTGCTTTTCTCCTTACCTTCTGGATCTCAGGGATCAACTCAGGTTATCAGCTTTGTTTGGTGGCAAGGGCCTTCACCCACCTCTTGCTAGCCCTGATAAACCTGTTCCAAAATCCACTTTCCAAAAAGTAAGTTAAAAAGGAAATGCTCATTGATGTGCTTAAATTGGTATCAAAATGAGAAACTCAGGATTTTTCCATAGCTGGGAGAAAGTACTGGTCAGAATTTTCCAATTGACGTTTGACTTATTTTTCATTCTGGAGGCCAAAATGATATCCTATCAAAGGTAAAATAATTGTTCATTTTGATTATGTGAGTGATTTACTAATATAGGCTAATTTGCCGATAATTACTGAGTAGTTGTATAATGTCAAAGCAGAGTCTTTTCTGTAAGCCAGCACAATGTTAAATGACGGATAATTTCGCCTCTTGTACCAGCACAGTTAGAGCAGCACACCGTCCCATTTCTCCTTGCTTCTCAGCAGTTATTTCTCACAACTGCTCTCATACGCCTGCACCATTGCAAGAAGGAAGCATCCCACCTCGGGCTTAAGGTCCTTGCAAATGGGATCATTGGGGATTCAGAACCAACGGGAGTATTTGGAATGAAGGAATTTGTCACAAACGTGGAGGGAGTCGCCTCCACGTTTGTGGGAGGAGATGGAGAAGGAGTTGGAAGGCAGGACAGCGACCTTGACACATGGACAGGAGTCCACGCTGGCTGGGAAATCAGACAGCCACAAACATCCTGCTATAGAGGGGCCACAGAGCGGGGCTGCTGTGGACATCTCTAGAGATGTTTTGGTGCTGTGTGACCACCTGAGTCTCTCAGCTGGCTTGTGGTCATTCCATAGAGAAGGAAGCATGAGGCAAGAAACCCTCACACATCTTTTGCTTTCATCACAAATGGCGTGTGTCTTTGCCACCCAGAGGCAATGATGGTTTTTGAAATGCAGTGTCTGCTCTGTTATTTTTGCCTCTCAAATATCAGGTGACTCTATACTTCTGCCCATAATGACAAATATAGACTTGTAAACACACAGGAAAGGAGATTTGGGGAACTGCAGTTCTTAGCAGAACCGAGCCACCTGAAGAACAATCCAGCCAGAAGTATAACAAAGCATGGGATTTCTTTCTCTGCTGTATTCCAAAAGGGCCAGATAACTCACTAGTCTAATAGCTGGGCCAGTCTCTCAGCTTCAATTCTCACTTCCCCATTTTCTCACACATGATGCCCTGGGTTGTGTCTTTTCCGTGACACCCTAGCAAGCACTTCAGCCTTTCAAGTAAAGCCAGCCAAAGCAGCACCCAATAAAAGCCTGCAAAGACAGTGCATGTGTGAGTTGGATGAATTGATGGTGGGGACTATGATGGTTCATGTGAGGCTCCGTTCATCTGCATGTGATGGAATTATAGGATGAATAGCACCAGGTACTTAAGAACATCCTTATCTTGCTTCCCAGAAGAAGTCCCTCTCTGGGACAAACACAAGGGATGGATTACGGGAGAAGAGATCCTTTTAGCTAGCATCTGACTTGTGACTTAAGCTCTCAGCAAGCATCCACAGGCAAATACATATACATACACTGCTCCCTACCACTCTTCAGAGCAATAACACCGCCATAGCCGGGGAACAGTGAAAAGCCTGTTACTCACACTTACACATCTCTGCCAGTCTGAGTGTTCTAAATATTGTGATCGACAGAGTGGTCCAACTGCCTTGATACACATCCGGCTCTCTTTACCCCACCTGCTGTCCTAGATGGATGGTGTGGTGCGGATACATCTCATCCGCCCATTAGTCAGCAAGACAGGCAGGAGACGTTTCCCTTTGATGTATAAAATGTGTTTTCCAAATAATGTTATGGAAGAGAATAGCAAGCACGCGTACTTTCCTAGAATAAATCGTGAACTGCGGGTTTCGGTGGCTCCCCCGTGTCCCTGGGTAGTTTATGGTTCTGGTTATAGAGGGTATGTAAAAAACCGAGAGGTCGTTTTTAGGTAGAGACGGCGAGCTTCACGCTCTGGTATTTCTCACGCATGCCCATGTCTGTGTGTGAAAGCTGTATCGGTGGTTTCTGCCACTGGGACCCAGATGGGAAGGGGCCATAACGGAGTGATAAGTTCAGCAACCGGATGGCTTCCTTGAAAAGACTTGTCTTCGCAGGGGAGAGACTGGTGTGAGAACTGTCTTGTCTCACAAGGTCCAGCTTATTTTTAAATTTTTTAATTTTTAAGAGGGCTGTTACTCAAGATGGAAGAAGTTAATCCCTAAGACGAGACTGGAGACTCAAAGAAATTACATGTAGGCTAGACTGCTCATAGCTATACCACAGCACACCTGGAGTGGCTCAGCACTGGCAACTGTGACATGCCCTGTAAGAGCTGTCTCCGTTGGGGACTGATCTTCAGTTTTTAAAGGGACAGGTTACCCCGGCCCCCTCCTCCAATTCAAAACAGCTAGAGCGCTCTCACAGTCCCTGTTTGGACCAGGTCTCTAGGTTTGCCCCCTTGAAGTAGTTGACAGCAATGTCTTTATACTGGGACATTCTTCAATTATCCCTTTACAGGAGAAACGTCTGTGCAAATATTTAAACTAACCCGTCCCTCCGTGTAAATTTGCCTTTAGATCAATCTGGTCTTGGACGCATGCCAGGAACAGCTTAAGCATGATAGTTTCTGGGTGGGAAGGGTGTCAGGGGGCTGCACGGACACTGCGGGGCTTTGCCGGGGACTTAGAGCCGTTGTGCCTTCCTTCCACCCGGTCCAAGCGTCTCCCTGGGTCTAGGAGTTGGCGGGACGGACAGGCTGCACATAGTTTATTGAATGAGGCCTCGGGCGGGGCTGGGGGCCAGCGGCTGAGTCTCTCCCAGAGCGGAGGCCACCGAGCTGCAGTTCCCCGGGCGGAGTCCTCTCCAGCCACTCCACGGCCAGAGCGCTGCAGCATTCGGGGCCTCTTCTTTCCAGTCCAGCGCTCCCACCGCGGCTGGACCGGACGCGCGCCGCCCCGCTCTCTCTCCCGCCAGGGTCTGCGGAGCGATCGATCCCTGTACCCTACGGGTTCCCTCTGACGCCCGGCAGGGTCGAGACGGGCGCTGGAGTCCAGCGCGAAGGGGGCGCGGCGGGCGCGCATCGGGCTCGCGGGAGCGCCGGGGGCCGGCGGGTGCTCCGGAGCCGGGGGCGGGGAGCCCGGAGCGCCGCCCCGCCAGCGCGCCCCGCCCGTGGGAGAGGAGGGGCTGCGGCGCGGAGGACCACTGGAGGCGCCGCGCGGCCGCCGCCGTCCGCGCCGGAGACCGCAGCTCGGCGCAGGGGCGCCCGTCCTCCGCGCCCCGGGAGCCTCCTCCAGCCCGCGCGCCCGGCGGACAGCTCGGGCCGTCCCCCGCCGCAGCCGCCGCTCGCCCGGCAGGTAAGCGTCTCTCGGCCGCGGGCTGCCTGCCCCGTGCCCGCCGCGCGGCCCGGGGGCATTGTGCGCGGGTCCGGCGGCCGCAGTTCCAGGCTCCCCCTCCCCCGAGGCATCGCCGTCCCCGGCGGCTCCCGGGTTGGGCGGCGCGGAAGCGGGGGCGGCCAAATGGGTCCCCGCTGCGGTGAGAGTGGGAGGGGGCTGCCGGTGTCACGGTCGCCGCTCGCCGCCCGCCCTCCCTTCCCGCGGCTGCGGGGTCCACGCATTCCTCCTCCCCCCTCCTGCGTCCCCCGCGTGCGGGTCTTCATCCCCCACCCCCCGATGCCCGCACCCCCGGGCCGGCTGGCTGGGAATGAGAGTCGGGGCCGGGAGGACTGATGTAATTGTCGGCGGAGAGAGAACCGAACCGCGCCCGCGCCCGCGCCCGCCGACGCCTATGCCGCACCTTTCAGGGAACCCGGGGAGCCGCGGGCAGCGGCCGGGCAAGTTGTGCATCGGGCTCGGTCGTGCGCGTGCACTGCGGACGGCCCTCGCGGGCACTCCTGGCCACCCCCGGCTGGCGTCCCCGCCGCCCTCCCTGCAGCCTGCGTCCACGCTCCCGGCCTGAGCTACCTTCTCCGGTTCAGACCAGGACGGGGTTTGCATTGCAGTCAGGACGAGCTTCCCCTGCGTCGAGCTCGGAGCTGCCCGCAGATCTAGTCGCCGGGGACGCTGGGGGAGGAGGGATGGGAAACCTGGGGAGGAAGCTGCGGAGAGCTAATGGCCCCCGCAGATTTCTAAAAGCCTCCACTGTATGCGGACGCGCTGCAAGCCACGTCTTAAGCTGCTTTTGAAAGTTATGACCAGATAACTGATTTTGTGACGGTTCTGTAATCTACCTGAAAGGTTGGTGAAACTAGACACCGAAAGCCGGGGAAAGCATTACATAATGGACATGAAGCAAAGGACGGCAACTAAGCTCATCCACCCCATTGCCAAATGATTTCTTGCTTCTGGACAGAAAGTCCTGTCTGTAAGGCTTTTTTTTTTTTTTTTTTTAATAAGAATTTCCATTTTGGAGTCTCTAGGCAAGATTTAATAAGTCATATTGTATTCGATTGCAATTTCCCCTTACAAAATAAAATTTCGGCATCTTTTCTTAAATTAAAAAAATACATATTTATTAATAGCTGTGTCGCAGAAAGAGTTAAGAAGTCTATTCTTAAAAGGAAAATTAAATTTCCCATCTAAAAGCTATTAAACTTTATTTTCCTCTTTTTTTAGTTTTGGCATACATCTATATATCTTCCTTCGCCACCCCCCACCCCTTTGCTTTGAAAGCATTTCTACAGTTTTGAATACTGCGAGGTCATGATGTTGGTGTTCCTGTCTGGTGCCTGCTACAGCATTGCAGGTACAAAGACTCACAATAAAGGAATCAGAAGACCTCACAGTAACTCTGGGAGCGAGCAGGTTCCCAAGGTCGAAGGAAAGATGCTGTGTAACTCAGCTATAATCAGCTACAGAGACTGTGCATGCCTCATTGGTCACAAGAAGGGCCCCGATTGGTGGAATGTCGTTCCTGCTATTGGCTTCCCGATTTAATATATTTTACTCAAAATATTTTTTTTAAGTTAACAGGATATTTTGAAATTTAAAGGCTTTGCTTTTACCAACTGGAAAAACTCCTGGTTTTGGCCCGATTTTCCGTTGTTACATCAGTAACTTAGCTCTACAGTCAGTGAATGGATTGCTTTTGGGGAGACTACTGTTTCAAATTGCAGTGACTTATCAGGTGTCTCTTGGTTTTGGTATGTTGTAGTCCTGTGAGATTTCACAGAATCATGTAACAGATGCTGTCTTATCAAATAGATGCTACTTTGATTTAACCTCAAGCGACTTGTAGTCATGCGTAAGTTAACACACAGAAACACACAGACTGTCCAAGATTAAATGTTTTTGGTGAGAGGCCTATAGTGGTACTGTAGATGGATACAGAATTATGTAAAATTACAAGCAGACAAAAGTTTCATGTGATCACTCATGAAGTTATGAGATTATGTTTTATTACACTACTTGGTTAACTACTAGCATTCTGTGAACTTTCTGTTGATCATTCCTCCTTAAGTCTCCTCTTTGTGGAAGACACTGGTGCAGGTTCTGTGGGAGATGTAAAGGCTGTCCCTGCTCTCATAAATTTTTATCTTCTTTAAGAAAAACAAGGGATAAATTGTTGAAAGAACTTTTTTTTTTTTGTTGTTTACTGTAAAGGTTAAGTAATATAGATATTTTAAAAGGCTTGGACAAAAGAGTTTTTATTATCCCTTTGATTCTGGTTTTTTTTTTTTTTTTTTTTTAATTCCCTTATTCAACACTGTATCACCACACTGGTTGTAGCAGCAGCTGACTTCCATTGTTGTGCAATATTCCCTGTCTGTGCTGGGTAACAGTGTGTCTGTTCTCCAGCCAGTGGCCACTTTCTTTTGCATCAAAAGAAAAAAAAAAGTTGTAGTATGTTTCCTATGTACATATGCAAACATTTCTCCGGGGCAGGTACCGAGGGGTAGAGCTACTGGGTTGTAGAATGGTCTGAGTGTTTGAAACACTAAATAGTGTCATATGTTATTCCAAGATTGTTGTGCTAATTTACTTGGGGAAGCCAGGGAAGCAAGCTAACACAGATAAGCAACTACAAAAACAAACTTTTTTTTGCATACATGTTCTGAAACACACTTTTTGTTTGTTTATTTATTTATTTAGAAGAAAAGCAATGATGAGCGTAAAACTTGGAGTGGGCCCACCGAGGTGGCTCAGCAGGTAAAGGCAAATTGCAAACCTCATGACCTGAATTTGATCCATGGTGTTCACATGGTGGAAGGAAAGAACTGGCTCCCACAGGGTGCCTTTTGACCTCTCTACTCAAGCTGTGGAACACACTCGCCCCCCCAATAAATGAATGAATGAATGAATAAAAATTTGAAAGGGTACAGTTGTGTCTTAGGGGGATCAGGGAGAGGGTGCTCTTCCTTAGGTATGGTGGTGAGCTCATAGGTAATATGTTTTAAAAAAGAAAAACAGTGGATCTTGCAAAGAATCAATGATGATATTTTAAAATTTTCAGGAAAAAGAAAGCAAGGTCCCTAGGGCTGTCACACCACAGGCTTGTGCGGCACGAGACCTGGAAGATGCCACTAAAAGGACAGGAAGCCATCCCTGTGCATAAGCTTGGATTGCCAAGAGTTGGTGAGGGACGTTGCCGGGAAGGATGGGCAAGAAGTGGTCACGCTGGCAGTAGGGCTACTTGGAGCTAAGGAAACGTATGACCATGGAGGAGGCAGACATTGGCTGTTTTCCTGCGGTGAAATGCTCCGAATGTCCAGGGAATGATGGGTGGAAGATATATCGGCAGGAGAGAGTCAAGGCAGGAACCCTGGTTGTCTGAGAGTTCTCAAGTTTGGAGAAGATGAGAAAGTTCACATTAAATCACCGAGAAGACAGTTTAGATAAGGAAGAGAGGAAAGAGTCAGAGATACTTGACTAAAGAAACCAGAGGGGTCCGGCGGATTTCAGATGTTAAGTACAGTGAGGAGATGTCAACTTTGGTTTGAACACACGGGCATTGGCGATCTCCGGAGCGATGAGAGCATTAAAGGGTGGAGCCCCAGCGTGTCTGAATGAGTATGGAAAAGCCAGTGAAAATGTTACTGAAGGCTCTTGTATTGTCAGTTTATGGCTGTGGAATAAACAATACCTTGACTTAGATACTGCAGTGTGTCAGTGTCGATGACACTGATCCACAGAGTTGAGGGAGTCTGGGGTTACAGGAGATGGGTTGGATGGGAAGGACAAATCATTCACGGCATGCACGGTGAGAGCGGGGAACTTCTGATCCCAAGCTACTTCATACCCACGTCACAGGGGCGGAGATACCTTCATGGGCCTGAGGATGGGGACCTTCAAGTTTGCTCTCCTACTGTTCCTGATGGAATGTGACCAAGCGCACGCGCGCACACACACACACACACACACACACACACACACACACACACACACACGTATATCTCCTTGATAAATATGCAGTCCTCTGAAGTTCTGTTATTGTTAGAGAGTTTCTGTGTTCTCCTTTGGAGACAAGGATACCAGCTCTTTATTTCTTCCTTTGCTCTATTTCTGTTTTGACAGGTTCTCCCTAGATAGTTCAGGTTGACCTTGAACTAATTATGTGGCCCAAGCTGACCTCAGACTCGGGATCCTCTGTTTTCGTTGTATGAATATTGAGGTTATAGCCATTCCTACCCCAAGACCTTTTATTTATAAGGAAACTTTTGGCTGCATGTCAGCATGACAAATACTAAACCAAAAGCGACTTAGTGGAGGAAAGAGTTTATTGGGATTATGTTTCTAAGTCACAGAGTCCGTCATGGAGGCAAGCAGACCAAGACCTCAAGCAGGACCCTGAGGCAGAAAACATGGAGAAATGCTGCGTGCTGGCTCACACACAGTTCTGTGCTCTGCCAGCTTTCTTATACAGCCTAGGACCACCTGCCCAGGATGGTGCCGTCTGCAGTGGGTGGGGCCTTCTACATCAATGAGTGGTCACACGTGGATAGGCACAGGTCGGTTCTAGGCAGCTGCTCGATTGAGGCTCTTACCCGTTGACAGTTAAAGCCAAGCGGGACAGGTACCTTTTGATGTCTTCTCAGATATAGGAAGAAAATAGTCAGTAGAAAAAGTCACATTTTTGTTGATGCTTGAATGACTCGCAGTAAGTCGGCTGCTCCTAGGTGTTCAGGCTAAAAGGGATTTAAACATCGTAGAGGAGGCAGGATAGAGTGCTTGGTAGAGTGCTTGTCTGCCATGCGCTTGCACAAGTCTGTCTTTAGCGGTGCAAAAAAAGAAGATCAAACCCAAAGAAGCACAATCGTTCTATCAGGGCCTCTCGGTTTCCGGGGGAAGAAAAGCACTCCTTGAGTCTGTGAGCCCTGCGGATAACACCGAGATGGTTTGACCAGGAACTGAATTCTGATAGTGGGGTCAGGAAGTAAAGCCCGCCCCTTCATTAGGGATCCGTAAGGGCAGCTGAATGGGAGGGTGAACCAGGACTTACAGACTTACAGTCTTTCTTGTGACGTATATTCATATATATATGCCCATACCCAGTCTCTCTCACTTTTTCTCTTTTTCTGTTTTTCTGACTAGGAAATGAAGATGTATGTAGTTTTTAGTGCTTACCTTTTTTTTTTTTTAAGGATTTACTTATTTTATTTTATGTGGTTGAGTGCTTTGCCTACATGCATGTATGTGTACCACAGATGAAGGCCTGGGATCCCCTGAAGCTAGAGTTATGCACGGTTGTGAGTCACGATGTGCATGTTGAGAACCGAGCCAGGGTCTTCTGCAAGAGCAGCACGTGCCCCCAACCACTGAGCTGGCCCTCCAGCTCCAAGGGTTTGCTTTTTGAACCACTGTGGCTCTGTCTTTCATTCAGTAGTGGGTGCACACAGGGAAGCTAGGTGCCATGCCTCATTTCCTTGACATCCTCTTTGTGCCAGCAGAGAAAGTCAGCGTGCACTTGGGCCTTAATGTCGAGGGTTTGCCTTACCTTTTATTGAGGCACCCTTCCCGCAGCTCTTGAGATGGGCCTGGTCACCCTTTGAAACCCGTAAAAGCAGAAGGAAAAACAACACCCATTTATTTTTAGAATCTTTTCAGAAGACAAACCAGAAATAAACTTGGCCTCAATTTCCAGCAGTTGGTGCTGCTTCATGCGCCCTAAACTAGAGCTAAGTTTTATTTACGTATTTGTATTGAGGTGT